ATATAAAATATATACATTGTTTCTCTTGACTCTCCCTATCTCTGTGTAATTTCCTCCTCTGATCTTAGAATAATCTCTTTTGATAGTTTGAAATACATCTTGACAATCACATTTGTTTTCATTTATGTGGTTACTCATACAAATATTTACTAAATTTTCTTATATAAATTTGATCATATCCTGTGGATTTTTTTCTGTAATTGTCTTCATTTTTATCTTAAAATGTTAGCGATGCGGTTATAATAGTGTGTATTAATTGGCTTCACACTTTAAAATACCTACAGCAAACATGATAGCATATTTGTAAAATGTTTTCATTAACTTTTTACTCTAAAAGTTTATTTACAAAATTCAAATACAAACTTGAACAAATTCTTTCAATTTCAGTTACACCCTCACCCATCAAATTGTACAACCCAATGATTAATCTCTCCTTCCCCTGCACATCCATATCCCTATCCCACATATCCTGGATCCTTATACTCATTCTACAATAACAGTTTTCTATAATATCTATCCTTGTGGGACTGAGTTAGTTCACTCAGCATAATGCTGTCCAGTTCTTGCCAAGTTAGGTAATAATTTACAAGGTTATTGCTCCTGCATGCTTCATAGTATTCCATTGTGTGAATGTACCTTATTTCTCAATCCACTCTTTTGTGGTTGGACATTTAGACTGTTTCCATGTTCTTGCGATGGTGAATAATGCTGTCATGAACATTGGCATACAAATCTCAGTTTGTGCTTCCGTTCTCATAGCTGGATCATATGGAATGTCTATGTTTAGCCTTTTGAGGAAGCACCAAACTGCCTTCCAGAATCGTTGCACATTTTACAATCCCGCCAACAATGTATAAGAGTTCCTTTCTCACCACATCCTCTCCAACATTTATTACTTGCTGTCCTGTTAAACGTTGCCACTCTTATTGGAGTGAGAGGGTAACTCTTTGTGGTTTTAATTTGTATCTTTATTACTGCCAGTGATTTTGAGTATTTCTTCATGTATCTGTTTGCCATTTGAATTATCTTCCTCTGAAAATTCTTTCCATGTCTTGTGCCCATTTTGTAACTGGATTATCAGTCTTTTTCTTGTGGAGTCCCAGGAGTATTCTGTAAACTTTTGTTATAAGACTCTTGTCTGAGAGGTTATTACCAAATGTTTGCTCCCAGTCTGTAGATTTTCCTTTCACCCTGTTGGAAAAAGTTTTTCATGTGCACAGAGATTTAATCTTTAGAAGGTCCCATGCATCGATTTTATCCTCTTTAGATTGTGCATTTCTGGTTGGATTTGGCAGTCTCTTTATACCTTGAACTAGCTCTTCTAAGTTTGATCCCAGTTTGTCTCTTAAGCACATTATGGTTTTGGACTTTACTCCCAGGTCTCTGCTCCACCTTGAGTTGATTTTTGTGTATGGTGTGAGATGTGGATCCTGTTTCAGCTTTCTGCAAGTGGAAGTCCAGTTTTGTCAGCACCATTTATTGAAGAGGTTATCATTTCCCCATTCGATAGCTTTGATTTCCTTGTCAAATATCAGTTGACCATAGATAGTTGGGTCTATTTCTGGGTTCCCAATTCTGTTCCATTGGTCGATATGTCTGTCATTGTACCAGTACCATGCTGTTTTGATTAGCACTACTGTGTAGTAGGTTTTGAGGTCAGGGAGTACAATACCTCCAACCTCATTTTTGTTTCTCAGAAGTGATTTGGTTATTCAAGGTCTCTTGTTTCTCCAAATAAACTTGATAATTTTCCTTTCAACCTTCTTGAAAAATTAATTTGGTATCTGGATTGGTATTGCATTGAACATGTAGATTGCTTTTGGTAGGATTGTCATTTTCACCATGTTGAGTCTTCCTAGCACATTTTTCCATTTCTTTAGGTCTTTTATTGTGTCTTTCAGAAATGCTCTATAATTTTCTTTGTATAGGTTTCTTTTATCTCTAATTATGTTCACTCCCAAGTATCTCAATTTATGGTTGGCTAATGTAAATGGTATTGCTTTCTTTATTTCTGTTTCTGAGTTCTCTTTGTTACTATAGAGGAATCCTATTGATTTTTGGATATTGATCTTATATCCTGCTGCTCTACGAAATTGGGAAGACCCTCTACTTTTACAGTCCTGGTTGTCTAGAGACTTTGGTACAAGCCATTCTTTTTTCCCTAGCCAGACTCATCTACAAACAATTTCGCTACTGGATCAATAGGTAACATCATGACAGTTGGAGAAAAGATTGAAGTTGTCAACAATCCTTACTAGATCCACAATCAACACCCTTTGGATCTGCAGTCAAGAAATCAAAAGACACTTCACATTGGGAAAATCAACTGTCAAGAACCTCTACAAAATGTGAAGGAACAATAATGTCAACCTAAAGACTAAGACTAAGGTGCTCCGGATCCAGGCCATAGTCTTCACAATTGTGTGCCATGTGTCAGAGAGCTGGACAGTGACTAGGGATGATAGAAAGCCTTTGAGCTATGATGCTGGAGAAGATAATTGAATACACCGTGGACTGCTAGGAGAACAAACAGCTTTGTCCTGGAGAGGATGAAACCAGGCTGCTCTTTGGAGGCAAGGATTCTGAAACTTCATCTGACATACTTTGAGCATGTTTCAAGAAGGGACCAGTCCTTGGAGAGCGACATCATATTTGGGAGAATGGAGGGACAGCACAGGAGAGGAAGACCCTCGATGAGATGGATCAATTCAGTGATTGGGGCAGTGGGAGTGGGTGTGTCAGAGATGGTGAGGTTGGGACAAGATAGAGCAAGGTTTAGGGCTCTTGTACATGGGTTAGTTATGATCCACAAGCGACTCAATGGCACATAACAACAGAAATAAACAGAGTTGCAGCTGCTGTTTTGATTATTTCTGTGGCTGTTCTGGGAAAGTAATCGAGAGCAGCTCCACAGCCTTAACAGATCATTCAGGAAGCTGGACTTAATAAGGAAGAATGTGGCACCAGGATTGGAAGAAGACCCATCAACAACCTGCAATATGCAGATGACACGGCCTTATTTGCTGAAACTGAGGAGGGCCTGAAGCATTTGCTGCAGAAGGTCAAAGACTATATAGTCTCCTATGTGGATCGAAGCTGAAAAGAAGACAGATTCTCACAAATTGGCAGCACCACAATGAATGGAGAAGAGATTGAGGTTGTTAACAATTTCAGCTCAGCTCCACAATAAATACTCCTGGCACCACAGTCAGGAAATCAAAAGAGAATTGCATTGGATGAATCTGTTTTCAGGGACCTCTCCAAAGTGCTAAAGAATAGTGATGTCAGTCTAGGGATTAAGGTGTGCTACAACCAACCCACTGTTGTTTTGTACTTTAGAGTCAGAATCAACCCAAAGCTGACCCTCTGGAAGGTTTTCAGAGGCAGTAATTGTACGGGAAGAGATGGCCCATTATTCTTTCATGGAGCAGCTGGTGGCCTCAAACCATGTGTTTTAGTGAGTGTAGCACACAGATTCTTGCCATTAGGTTACCAGAGCTCCAGTACATGGTCTTGAAATTACTTGTAATACATCAGAGAGCTGAATAATGACTAAATATGGCAGAACAAGAATTGATACCTTTGAATTGTGGTGCTGGAAAAGGGTATTGAACATACCAAAGACTGTCAAGAGAACAGTTCTGTCTTGGAGAGGGTGAAACCAAGTTTCTCCTTCGAGGTAAGTATATTGAAGCTTTATCTCACATACTCTGGGTTCGTGGCCAGGAGGGACTGATCCTTGGAGAAGGACATCATGCTTGGAAGGGTGGAAGGACAGCTCAGGAAAGGAAGACCCTGAATGAGATTGATTGACACCATAACTAGGGTAATGGGGGGGTTGGTTTGTTGGAGTCAGTAAAACTGGCTCAGGATAGAGCAGGGTTCAGAGTTACTGTGCATAGGATCACTATAAGTTGCAGGTGACTTCATGGCACATAACAACAAATTGCAATGGGAGTAAGCTGCCCATCCTTCTCCCTCAGAGTTGCTGGTGAATTCAAGTTGCCAGAAATGTGCATCCTTTGAGTTATCAACTCAACTCAATACAGCCTATGCCAGCAGAGCCTATGGAATGTTATTCTTTTCAGGTGCTGTGGAGTCTACTACAGCTCTTCGTGACTTTATGAACAACAGATCTGAAACCCATTGTGTGCCATCCTCATAAGCTCTGTCAGGCAGGCTTAAATCCATCAAGGTAGTCACTATGTCAATCTATCTCATGGATGTAATAATCAAATACCAAAAACTCAGTTTCTGACAATGTGCAGCTATCTCCATCCCACTCGCTTGCATAGTTTGCATCAAGCAACCTCCCCCACCTGTGATAAACCACACTCTGTTGGCC